TGTGGAGTCTCCTTCTCTGGAGATATTCCAGCCCCACCTGGACGCAGCGCTGTGCAGCCTGCTCTGGGTGACCCTGCTTGGGCAGGGGGTTGGGCTGCGTGACCCACAGAGGTCCCTTCCAACCCTGAACATTCTGTGATTCTGTCCTTCTCCTTCCAGCTCTCAGGTGCCCGGCCAACAGCAGCTACTCCCTCTGCACCCATCTCTGCGCCAACAGCTGCGCGGGGCGTGTAGACGCCTCCAAATGCCCCCAAACCTGCGCCGAAGGCTGCCGCTGTGACAAAGGGTTCACCTTTGACGGGCACGGCTGCGTTCCCGAGGAGAAATGCGGATGCTTTGTGGATGGGAAATATTACAAGGTAGCAACCGCATGAGTTTTGGGGAGGTTTAGGGGTATTTTTCACGTTTTCCTCCTGCCTGCGCTGTGGCGCGTTTCTCCAAAGGTGAAGGTGTGCGCGGTCCAAAGCGCCTCGCGGGGAAAAGAACCTCAAAATCTTCCCCCTGCCGAGCGATTCTGCGGTTTCACATGGAGAGAATTGGGGCGTTTTGCATTCTGCAACGCTGCTGGTTCTCTCGGGTAGACCTAAACGTGCTGGTTTTCTTCTTTTTTTTCCCCTTTCCCCATATTTTTATGCATTTCTGCCTGACACGGTTTGCTTTCCTCACTGCGACGCCTCACGCCCTCTCGCCCCGCAGCCCCACGAGTCGGTCCTGAGGGAGAACTGCCGGCAGCGTTGCACGTGTGTCCCCAGCGAGGGCTTGACCTGCAGCAGCCACAGCTGCACCGACGACGAGACCTGCGAAATCCGGGACGGCGTCTTGGGTTGCGTCAACCAAAGTAAGGAAAAATGGGGTCGTTGGAGTTGGGGGGTGGGGGAAGAAGAGGGGTCTTGGAGCCAGAGCGTGTCGTGGGGCTGGTCTGGATGTTTGACTTCAAGGTGTGGGCTGAGCTGGAAACCCTCTAGCAAGGGGAGGTGGAGGCCACACATCCTGTCTCTAACCTGAAGAGGGGCAGGGATGCGGTGGGGGGGTTTTGGAGGAGCAAAGGTCTTCAGAGCAGCCGTCCCTCAGCTTTGCGTCCACCCAGACACCCTGTTGTAACCATGGTGGCGTCTTCTTGAAGGACGGGTGCAACCTCTGGTGACGATGAACCCAATCTTGACATTTTTCCGAGTAACGGGGAGTGGGAAAGGTGTCTGAAAAGGGGAAATTTGGGTTTGGTGATGGATTGTTGTGTTCTGGTTTACACCTCGGAGCTGCCAGTCTCCTGCCAAAGCCCGAGGAGAAGCAGAGGACGCATGGTGGGACCCCAACACTGGTGAAGACTCTTGGTTTGCACAGTGATGTGAGATATGTCCCTCACTGGAACATCTCCCGTGGTTTCTTCTCCTTCCAGATCCCTGCAAAGCCCTGCGGTGCCGGCCCAAGGAGAGGTGCAAGCTGAAGGACGGCCAAGACAAGTGTGTCCCCTCCCTGGTTGCCACCTGCTGGGGTTGGGGAGATCCCCACTACCACACCTTCGACGGGCTCGATTTCGACTTCCAAGGCACCTGCACCTACACCATGGCTGAATCCTGCGGGAGCGACACCACGTTGGTCCCCTTCAAGGTGGAGGGCAAGAACGACATCCGCGGCGGGGTGAAATCCGTCTCCTACGTGAGCTTGGCCAACGTCAAGGTCTACGGCCAACACATCTCCATTCGCCGGAAGGAAGTGGGCAAAGTCAGGGTGAGTTGGCCTAAAATGGAGGGAAAAAAATGGCCTTTCCCCACGTCTTTCTTCATCCGTCTCTTCCCCATCTCCTTTTTCATCCATCTCCTTCATCATGTTCAACGCCTTGCCCTGCTCTGTCAGGGCCACCCTTATTTTTGGCCAAATCAATCCAACTTGAATGTGGATTTTTGAACTGTTGGGATACGCCGGGGATACGCTGCCTTGCGTGAGGCAACCTGAGGTTGTTTCCTTCCCTGGGGGGAAGCCGAGAGCACCAGAGGTAGATGCAGTAGGTGTCCGAGAAACCTCAAAGCAGGTGGGACACCCCTCTGGGAGGTTTGCGGTGGCAGCCCGCCGCGTGTGAATCATCGAATCATCGAATGGTTTGGGTTGGAAGGGACCTTAAAGCTCAGCTGGTTCCAACCCCCCTGCCATAAGCAGGGACATCTTCCACCAGATCAGGCTGCTCAGAGCTCCATCCAACCTGGCCTTGAACCCTGCCAGGGAGGGGGCAGCCACAGCTTGTCTGGGCAACGTGG